AGTGGTGGTAGTGGTAGTAGTAGTGGTGATGGTAGTAGTGGTGTTAGTAGTAGTGGGAGTAGTGGTGGTAGTAGTGGTGGGAGTAGTGGTAGTAGTAGTGGTAGTAGTGGTGGTAGTGGTGGGAGTAGTGGTGGTAGTAGTGGCAGTAGTACAGGTGGTAGTGGTAGTAGTGGTGATGGTAGTAGTGGTGTTAGTAGTAGTGGGAGTAGTGGTGGGAGTAGTGGTGGGAGTAGTGGTAGTAGTGGTGGTAGTAGCGGTAGTAGTGGTGGTAGTAGTGGCGGTAGTACAGGTGGTAGTGGTAGTAGTGGTGATGGTAGTAGTGGTGTTAGTAGTAGTGGGAGTAGTGATGGTAGTAGTGGTGGTAGTAGTAGTGGGAGTAGTGATGGTAGTAGTGGTGGGAGTACAGGTGGTAGTGGTAGTAGTGGTGATGGTAGTAGTGGTGGGAGTAGTGGTGGGAGTAGCGGTAGTAGTGGTGGTAGTGGCGGTAGTAGTGGTGGTAGTAGTAGTGGGAGTAGTGATGGTAGTAGTGGTGGTAGTAGTAGTGGGAGTAGTGATGGTAGTAGTGGTGGTAGTAGTAGTGGGAGTAGTGATGGTAGTAGTGGTGGTAGTAGTAGTGGGAGTAGTGATGGTAGTAGTGGTGGTAGTAGTAGTGGGAGTAGTGATGGTAGTAGTGGTGGGAGTAGTGGTAGTAGTAGTGGTAGTAGTGGTGGTAGTGGTGGTAGTAGTGGCGGTAGTACAGGTGGTAGTGGTAGTAGTGGTGATGGTAGTAGTGGTGTTAGTAGTAGTGGGAGTAGTGATGGTAGTAGTGGTGGTAGTAGTAGTGGGAGTAGTGATGGTAGTAGTAGTGGGAGTAGTGATGGTAGTAGTAGTGGGAGTAGTGATGGTAGTAGTGGTGGGAATAGTGGTAGTAGTAGTGGTGGTAGTGGTGGGAGTGGTGGGAGTAGTGGTGGTAGTAGTGGCGGTAGTACAGGTGGTAGCGGTAGTAGTGGTGATGGTAGTAGTGGGAGTAGTGATGGTAGTAGTGGTGGGAGTAGTGGTGGGAGTAGTGGTAGTAGTAGTGGTGGTAGTAGTGGTAGTAGTAGTGGTAGTAGTGGTGGTAGTAGCGGTAGTAGTGGTGGTAGTGGCGGTAGTAGTGGTGGTAATAGTAGTGGGAGCAGTGATGGTAGTAGTGGTGGGAGTAGTGGTGGGAGTAGTGGTGGTAGTGATGGTAGTAATAGTGGTAGTAGTGGTGGGAGTAGTGGTGGTAGTAGTGGTAGTAGTGGTGGTAGTAGTGGAAGTAGTAGTGGTAGTAGTAGTGGTAGTAGTGGTGATAGTGGCAGTAGTAGTGGCGGTAGTAGTGGTAGTAGTAGTGGTGGTAGTGGCGGTAGTAGTGGTGGTAGTGGCGGTAGTCGTGGTGGTAGTTGTGGTGATAGTGGTGGTAGTAGTGGTGGTAGTAGTGGTGGTGGTAGTGGTGGTAGTAGTGGTGGTAGTAGTGGTGGTAGTGGCGGTAGTAGTGGCGGTAGTAGTGGTGGCGAACGACCCTGGCCATGAGAATGAAAAAATCTGGAACCGCAAACTCAAAAGGCCGCGCACGACGGAGAGACGCGCACCTCAGAAATGAAACCGAGAGACGGACACGGGAGAACACACGGGGGTTTAAAATAAAAAAAATCAGCATCGTTCAAAAACTGTCAACCCCTTCTCCATGTCCGCGACGTCTTCTGCAAGCTGCAGGATGGTGCGGGTGGTGTCCCGTTCACCGCTGAATCTCGGAACTGCACGCAAGTGGCTCGGCGTTGATTTTATTTTGGGAGAGGCGTGGCGGTAGCGGCAGTAGCGCCGCTGTGCTTGCAGAGGTCGTTACTCACCGCGGAGAACCACAGCGACACGACGGCCGCCCAACTACGACAACCGGCGCCACGAACCGTGCCACTTTCGCGAGCCCTTCCCCCGCGTGGCCTCGCGGGAGCCTCTGTACCAACAATGTTATTTTATATTATGGGTTTTATATATATTAGTCTTACATACGAATTAAAAATAAATGAAAGAAAAACCGTACGTCATCGGAATGGGACAGGGTTCACGGAAGTGAGTGTGGCCTCAGTCAGAGGGGATAACGACGATGGTGACGATGATGAAGACGACGATGATGGCCGAGACTAACAACGATGGGGCAGCCGAGGGATAGGGACGCTTCCGACAGGGGCACGTCCACGGAGGATGATGGAGCGACAATGAAATCATGTCGCGTGCGGGTGGATTGGAGGACAGGTCACGCAGGTTAAGTACATCAAGCATGGAACAGTGGCAGCGGCCGACGGCTTTCTGAAAGCGGACATCATGATGTTTTAATAATCAAGCGCTCGCGATGGTATCGGGGGCCTTACTAAGGATCGGGGAGGAGGGGGCGGGGGGAGTGACATTTTAATTATTATTTTGTTCCAAGAGCCATAAACACGTCAGAATATTTATATAAGCAGAACTCCATTTCGTGTGTCCACATTACGAAGTTAAAAAATATATATATTCATTTGTTTAGTCCTTCGGCCAATATCAACCAGCAGCGGCTTTTTTTTGTGTTTAACCGAATATAAAAACTAAAAACTTTCCCGTGTTTTGACCTGGCGCGCCTGTCGTCGGCGGCGCCGGCCGAGCTTCTCGCAACGATCGCTGCTCAGTGGCCATCAGACGTCGCTCACGGGAGCGCTCCTGCGCGCCAAACTCCGGCAGACCCCCTTCAGATGCGCGAAAGGCAACGGCCAAGTAAATCGCCGTCGATCAAAAAAATAAAATAATCCACGCGCCGGGGCGCACTCTAAACTTTCTTGTTTAGCTCCCCATTCAAATCAAAATTACGGGGAGCATGCCGTGATCTGGCACCTAGCGTTCCTGCAACAGCGCAAGGCTCATCAATGAAGAGAGGCTCCGTGTCTAACGGACGGGGGACAGCCTGGCAGTGGCTAGTGGTGGGGTGGGTGCTGGGTGGGTGGTGGGTGGGTGGCTGACAGCGTTGTCGTGCATTTCCCAATCAACTCATTTTGTGAGTAGAGTTTTTGTTTTCAGATTTTTTTTTTTTACAAATTTGGACCGTGACGATTTCGGAGAGAGGCCGCCGGTCTGCGGAGTTTTTTTAATTTATTTTCGCGGGATCGACCGCAGCAACGCCTCGTTTGAGACGTCCCGTGTTGAAACTATTACACCATAATATTTTTTTTTATTTTAACAGGTAAAGCCCCATTGAGCTACGTAGCTCATTCTCAGACGCGAGCCTGGCTATTGCAACACGATAGCTCAACAGAAGCGGCTCATTATCATCACGTGGACATTTATAGCAGCAGCGAAATGCAGTCAACGCGTGTTTCTAAACGTGGAGGGAAAGAACCGGAGGAAAAAATCCACGCAACCACGGGGAGAGAGACGCGCAAACTCCAACTATACAGGGAGGCGTCAGGGTCGGGATCGAACCCACGCCCTCCTACATACCAGGGTGAGGTAGTTAACATCTCCTAGCCACCGTGATGATGATGATGAGAGAGAGAGACGCAAACTCCAAATATACAGCAGCAGGCGTCAGGGTCGGGATCGAACCCACGCCCTCCTACATACCAGGCGAGGTAGTTAACATCTCCTAGCCACCGTGATGATGATGACGAGAGAGAGAGAGAGACACACACAAACTCCAACTATACAGGGAGGCGTCAGGGTCGGGATCGAACCCACGCCCTCCTGTATACCAGGCGAGGCAGCTCACATTTTGCCCTCTCTATTGTCCGTGCGCCCCCCCTCTCCCGCTCTGTCGGCGCGGGTGGAATTCCACCGTCGCACGTTTGCTGCTTGGGTTATACGGCCCCGGCCCTTGCCACGAGTTTGCCGGTTGTCGCCATGCGTGGGAGTGGAGGGGTCGTGGGGTGTTGGGGGGGGGAGGTGGCGGCTTCACCTCGACCAAAAGTAACTTTGGCGCGTCAAGTGCTCGCGTTTCTTACGAATATTTTTTTATTATTTGGGGGCGATTTGGACCGCGACGCTGGCAGACCTGGTGTCCTACGCACCTCGTTGCCGAATATCTCGCGGGCGCCCGCGGGATGTTTAACAATCACATATACAGGTCGCTTTAAAAAAAATGTTAACACTTCCGAGAATTTGCAACAACACCACAATAAATGTGCCGCTGCCTCCGGGCTCTGGAGACCACCTGGAGAAGGTTGAAGCTATTAACATTACATTTGTTATCGTGTTGCAGTGTATTATTACTACTATTATTATTATTATCATTATCCGTTGTTTTTCCATTAAAAACGATAGTCCCATGTAAGTGTTAACATTGTTTTGAAGCACGCTGTATATGGTTTATTCATTGTTCGCAGCGTTAGACGGGGGGCGGTGGTGGTTCGAACGGCCGGGCCAAGTCGCTACCCCCCCCCCCACACCGCTCAATATATTACGTAGCCCCCCCCCCCCCACCGCTCAATATATTACGTAGACACACGGTGACGGATGAAGATCTGCTTACAATATACAAAGACGAAAATCACCCCCCCCCCACCTCTCCCCGCCCTATAGCCCTGAACAGACCGTTGTGGCAAGTGGTGTTAGCGAGCACACGCACGTACGAGCACGCACATGCACGCGCGCACGCAGGCACACACACACGCACACACTCACACACGCACACACACACACACACGCACACACACGCACGCACACACACACACGCACACACACACACACGCACACACACACACGCACACACACACACGCACGCACACACACACACGCACACACACACACACACGCACACACACACACGCACACACACACACGCACACACACGCACACACACACACGCACACACGCACACACACGCACACACACGCGCACACACACACACACGCACACACACGCACGCACACACACGCACACACACACACGCACACACACGCACGCACACACACACACACACACGCACACACACACGCACACACACGCACGCACACACACGCACACACACACACACGCACACACACACACGCACACACACACACGCACACACACACACGCACACACGCGCACACGTGCACGCAGGCACGCACGCAACGCCCGTTCGGCGGCTTGATAGTTTTAAGTCTCACTTCGTAAAAGTTTTCACCGTCAAAGTAGTGAAGATGTCCCTCCCCCCCCGTGTCCCCGGGGGAAACGTTACAGGGGTGGCTGGGGTGGGCGAAGGGACGGAGGGAGGGAACGGGCGGCTTGGGGGGGAGGGGGGAGGGGGGGAGGGGGGTCCCACATCCCCTCGGCACCTCTCACTTCCTGCCGCTGAGTATGGCCCAGACGAGGATGACTATGAGCAGGGCCATTAGGATGGTGAGGATCACGGTGATCACGACCATCCCTCCAGAGCGGCCTCCAGGCGGAAGGGGGATGTCACCGCGCGGAAAGCCTGGGGACGGGGGGGGGGCGAGCGGGGAACGGGGGGGGGGAGATCGCACCGTGGAAGGGGTGTTACATTTACATTCGTCATTGTGACGACATGGGATCTACGTAGACTTCTATGGAGCTCAAAGTCCATACCGTGTGAACCCATGAGGTTAACCCCGTTGATCTCGTGCAGGGAAATTGGGTTTTCAGGTCCATACGTGGCGCAGCCGTTTCGGTATGGGCAGAGTTTTTTTGTCTATCTGTCCGTGTTTCTCCCTTGCGATGGGACTTTTGTAGGATGAACGTTGAGATTTTTAATGTCACGGGGTGACCAATAAGTTCTGAATTGGTCTGTAATAAGGGACTAAGGGGTCGACAGGTATGCATCTGTGACCAAAAGGAAAAGCGCTTCAAAGCGCATCGGATTTTTCTCCGGGATAAATGAAGATTCTGAATTGTGATTCTGAATTGCCTCTCCAAATCATTCTACGGAGAGACGCAGAATAATAAAGCATCATCGTGCAAACTCCGGTCATCAGACTCGCAACAACAGCGGCTTTTGGCACTGATAAGGGGATCACAGGTATGATAGTTTAACACTCTATAGGACACGGCCTAATATAGGTTTTACATAAGATCCGAAAGAAGATCACCACCCCCCCCCCCCCCCCGTAGACTAAAAGGGTTTGGGCAGCAGAGGGCAGTGCAACGTACTCTATTGCTGACGTGCAGGTTTTTTTTTCTTCCGATTCCGTTTCCGATGACGTACGCGTGAGTCACGACGTGTTAGTCACGAGGTGCTCGTTAGTCACGACTAGCTCGTTAGTCACGACGTGTTAGTCACGACTAGCTCGTTAGTCACGACGTATTAGTCACGAATTGTTAGTCACGACTAGCTGGTTAGTCACGACTAGCTCGTTAGTCACGACTAGCTCGTTAGTCACGACGTGTTAGTCACGACTTGTTAGTCACGACTAGCTCGTTAGTCACGACTAGCTCGTTAGTCACGACTAGCTCGTTAGTCGCGACGTGTTAGTCACGACTAGCTCGTTAGTCACGACTAGCTCGTTAGTCACGACGTGTTAGTCACGAGGTAGGTGTAAGTAAGTGTAAGTTGCGACGTCCACTGTGGGCGGCATGGACGATGCCGTGATATTTTTTTTGGCTGCCTTCCGTATACGAATCGCAAACCTCTACAAGAAGCGGCCAAGGATTTCTGCTGCTGTTGCGCCATGTCACCGCACCCCGCGTCTTATTGCGTTCTCCGTTGCTGTGTAAACCCTTGTATGGCAGAGTGGATGGGAAATGCTGCCTCCTGTTGCGTGGATGACAGGTCACTTGAAGAAGAAGGCATTTCAGAGGTAGCTCTGTGATATCCACTTCCGCGGACCGTTCTACGTGCACCAGAGGTAGCTCTGTGATATCCACTTCCGCGGACCGTTCTGTGTGCACCAGAGGTAGCTCTGTGATATCTACTTCCGCGGACCGTTCTGTGTGGACCAGAGGTAGCTCTGTGATATCCACTTCCGCGGACCGTTCTGTGTGGACCAGAGGTAGTTCTGTGATATCCGCTTCCGCGGACCGTTCTGTGTGGACCAGAGGTAGCTCTGTGATATCCACTTCCGCGGACCGTTCTGTGTGCACCAGAGGTAGTTCTGTGATATCCGCTTCCGTGGACCGTTCTGTGTGCACCAGAGGTAGCTCTGTGATATCCGCTTCCGCGGACCGTTCTGTGTGCACCAGAGGTAGTTCTGTGATATCCGCTTCCGTGGACCGTTCTGTGTGCACCAGAGGTAGCTCTGTGATATCCGCTTCCGCGGACCGTTCTGTGTGCACCAGAGGTAGTTCTGTGATATCCACTTCCGCGGACCGTTCTGTGTGCACCAGAGGTAGCTCTGTGATATCCACTTCCGCGGACCATTCGCTAACACAGGGAGCGCTGAACTGCTCTGCTCTCTCGATTGAAAACCCATTTCTTTCAAACCGCTTCTTCTTCTTGTTGTTGTTGTGTTTAGTTTGGTGTCCTTCCAACCCAGCACCTCCGATTGGTACTGTGGGGCTACGTACGGTGGAGCAAGAATTTCAACGTACGTACAGCACGTACAATCACACATTCCAAACGGAATCTCCATCTGGTGACGGAACGACGATGATCGACCGCACGGTCTGGTTGAGTTTGGGCGTGACGGTGACACACAAACAACAACAACAACAGTGACACACAAACAACAACAACAACAGTGACACACAAACAACAACAACAACAGTGACACACAAACAACAACAACAACAGTGACACACAAACAACAACAACAACAGTGACACACAAACAACAACAACAGTGACACACAAACAACAACAACAACAGTGACACACAAACAACAACAACAGTGACACACAAACAACAACAACAACAGTGATGCGCTTCTTACGTGTCGAGAACGTGCTGGCCTGGGCAGACCAGCCGAGCTGTTTTGCAGCGAGTTGTCCAACATAGAGAATGGCATTTACCCTGTCAAACACACACACACACAGACACGGTTAGCTCCACCATGTGACCACCAAACACCACACCATCAACAACAACATCCACCATGTTACCACCAACCCCCACAAGCAACATCACCAACACCATCACCAACAACAACCACAACACCAACCATTGCACCATCAACAACAACAACAACAACCGCTGTCCACCACCAAGTGGCGGTGACGTCACCACCGCTCTACCATTACCACCACCAACCACCACCAACCACCACGAGTGGTCAGGGAGTAGCCCTGACCACTCGTGTAAGATTTATCGCAAACCTTTATGACTTGCGCGTGTGCGTATTACATCTTATGCGGGGGGGGGTGGGGTGGCTGGGCAGGTTAAGACAACGATTAATCGGAAACCAAACACGTGACTCTTTTTGCCACAACGTTGTAAGATCGTTCTGCATCTCTGGGACCCATCACCCCCACCCCAACACCCCCCCCTCCCCACGCCACCCCCAACACCCCCCCCTCAGACACCCCCCTCCCCACACCACCCCCAACACCCCCCCCTCACACACCCCCCTCCCCACACCACCCCCAACACCCCCCCCCTCCCCACACCACCCCCAACACCCCCCCCTCATACACCCCCCTCCCCACCCCCACCCCAACACCCTCCCCCTCCCCACACCACCCCCAACACCCCCCCCCCTCAGACACCCCCCTCCCCACACCATCCCATCCAACACCCCCCCAACACCACTCCCCCACCCGCCCCAACACCCCCCTCCCCACACCACCCCCACACCCGTCTCACCCCCCCCCCTCCGACACCCCCCCCAACACCACTCCCCCCCTCTCCGACCCCCCCTCACACCACCCCCAACACGACCCCCCCCCACACCACACCACCCAACCCCCCCCCCCCCCGCCAGCCCCTGTCACCTGTACTGGGTGCCGTTGAGGAGGGGAGGGTTGCACTCGGCGATGACTGTGGGGGGCTGTGGAGTCGAGGTGCACGTCTGGAGGCGTTCGGTGTTGGCGCCCAGCCGGTACACCGAGTCCATGTTGGAGCCCGGATTGCAGGGTGGCACGGCAAACTTGTCCACCATGTACACGCCGTTAGGGAAGGTGATGTCGGTGGTGATCGTTGGGGCTGGCGCACCATTGGACAGGGGACAGAGATAAAGATCGTCACCCCAGGGTAGCGTTTAGGGGATTGTCGTCGGGGGGCATAGGAACGAGCAGCATCGGTGCCTATGAAGGCCACCACGATGGCACACTCGGGGGCACCTGGGCCAACTATCCCATACATTACACACACCACTAACCCCAAACAATATCACTATTTATACCTCGTATACAATACCTATTTATACCTCTTACACTGTCCATAACATTACACACACCACTAACCCCAAACAATATCACTATTTATACCTCGTATACAATACCTATTTATACCTCTTACACTGTCCATAGCATTACACACACCACTAACCCCAAACAATATCACTATTTATACCTCGTATACAATACCTATTTATACCTCTTACACTGTCCATAACATTACACACACCACTAACCCCAAACAATATCACTATTTATACCTCGTATACAATACCTATTTATACCTCTTACACTGTCCATAACATTACACACACCACTAACCCCAAACAATATCACTATTTATACCTCGTATACAATACCTATTTATACCTCTTACACTGTCCATAACATTACACACACCACTAACCCCAAACAATATCACTATTTATACCTCGTATACAATACCTATTTATACCTCTTACACTGTCCATAACATTACACACACCACTAACCCTTACCCCTAAACTACTATCACTATTTATACCTCTTACACTGTCCATAACATTACACACACTACTAACCCTTACCCCTAAACTACTATCACTATTTATACCTCTTACACTGTCCATAACATTACACACACTACTAACCCTTACCCCTAAACTACTATCACTATTTATACCTCTTACACTGTCCATAACATTACACACACTACTAACCCTTACCCCTAAACTACTATCACTATTTATACCTCTTACACTGTCCATAACATTACACACACTACTAACCCTTACCCCTAAACTACTATCACTATTTATACCTCTTACACTGTCCATAACATTACACACACTACTAACCCTTACCCCTAAACTACTATCACTATTTATACCTCTTACACTGTCCCTAACATTACACACACTACTAACCCTTACCCCTAAACTACTATCACTATTTATACCTCTTACACTGTCCCTAACATTACACACACTACTAACCCTTACCCCTAAACTACTATCACTATTTATACCTCTTACACTGTCCATAACATTACACACACTACTAACCCTTACCCCTAAACTACTATCACTATTTATACCTCTTACACTGTCCATAACATTACACACACTACTAACCCTTACCCCTAAACTACTATCACTATTTATACCTCTTACACTGTCCATAACATAGACACACCACTAACCCCAAACACTATCACTATTTATACCCCAAACAATATCACTATTAATACCTCTTATACTTTCACTATTTATACCTCTTATACTATCCTTAATATTAGACACATCACTAACCCTAACTACTATCACTATTTATACCTCTTATACTATCCCTAACATAAACACACCACTAACCCTTACCCCAAACAATATCACTATTTATACCCCTACCATTACACACACCACTAACCCCAAACAATATCACTATTTACACCTCTAACAATATCACTATTTATACCCCAAACACTATCACTATATATACCTCTTATACTATCCCTAACATAAACACACCACTAACCCTTACCCCAAACAATATCACTATTTATACCCCTAACAATATCACTATTTATACCCCTAACATTACACACACCACTAACCCCAAACAATATCACTATTTACACCTCTAACAATATCACTATTTATACCCCAAACACTATCACTATATATACCTCTTATACTATCCCTAACATAAACACACCACTAACCCTTACCCCAAACAATATCACTATTTATACCCTAACAATATCACTATTCATACCCCTAACATTACACACACCACTAACCCCAAACAATATCACTATTTATACCCCTAACAATATCACTATTTATACCCCTAACATTACACACACCACTAACCCCAAACAATATCACTATTTATACCCCAAACATTACACACACCACTAACCCTTACCCCCAAAACTCACTATTTATACCCCTAACATTTTGATTTAAAGCTTTCGTGACTGCAGTGATTCATATTCTTAGCTCTTTCGGTAAAGTCACGTTGAAGGGAAACAATAAAATAATAAAATACATATAAAACAATAAAAATTCTCACGACGTTTCGACTATAACACAAACGGTCATCATCAGGTGTGAAAACCAGCAACAAGAAACATTTGAAAGAAGTGGCGGTTTGCATTCATTTATTTTTAAACGGTGTTTGTATTTTTGTTATTTTTTTAAAAACGTTAGCACCACGGGCAGCGATTTGACAGTTTGTTTAGAAGGACGAGTCCATCTATGTTCTGAAAAGAGGAGGGGGGAGACGAAAAATTAATGTATGCTATCTGAAAGCCACTGTAAGCATGAACAATCAATTAAGACCTGAAATGGTTTATCAAATCCTTCCAATGGTTGCTAAGCCAGAATCCATCTTCTCGGTTGAAATTGTCTCTGTGCTTGTATATGTGGATAGCCTCATGAACGAATCTCTCATGGTAGCCAGATGGCTTACAAAGAACCTCTGTCTTGGAGAAGTCAATGTCATGTGAGCCTACTGAATTATAACAATGATCTGCCACGGCCGAGGTGTTGGTCCTGCCGTGTCAGACCTTAAACACACCTGATGATGCTTGCTTGTGTTGCAGTTGAAACGTCGTGAGAATTTTATTGTCTTATATTTTTATTATTTTATTGTTTCCCTTCTACGTGACTTTACCGAAAGAACCAAGAATATGAATCCCTGCAGTCACGAAAGCTTTAAATCAAAAAATAGTTTACGTTCATGGTTTAGGTTTTTAATTCTTACCGATGTCGGATTTGCTCGCCACGATCATGATCTGGTCCACATTCTGGTCGATGACCTGCAAGCAGTTGGGGATTTTGAAGGTGAGCGAGCTGTAGCTGTACGCCGCCCGGTAGTAAGACGTATTCGCAATGACCATCGGACGTCCTGCGACCACAAACACCGACCATAACAGAAGAAAGCAGCGGACAAAAAGACGTCTCCGTTAGACTCTTAGATGCACGTTATTGTTTTAGCATTTGTCCGATGTCGCTCAGACTTTGTGGAACTATGGTTCGCAGCGTCGCATATCCGACCAGTCGGCTCGTCGCCTGACCCGCCCACACTCACACAGGTCCGGTGTTTTGCAAAAATGAAGTAATTTTGCTATGAGCGTTGACACGATCTACTGTGTATACCCCAGGCCCTAGCGAGTCAGGATATGTACAAAGTGGTGAAGAGCAGTCGTTTTTCGGTTTCAGATACAGGTCTCAAAAACACGATCCATAGATTAAAACAGAGCCCCACTTATATAGTGTCCACAGATTAACATAGCACCCATAGATATATATGGGACCCAATGACCCATACACTAACATAGGACCAATCGATATACACGGGACCCAATGATCCATATACTAACATAGGACCAATCGATATATATCAGGGACCCATTGACGAACATATGATGAAAAGATATACATGGGACCCAATGACCTATAGACTAACATAGAACCCAAAGACATACATGGGACCCAATGACCCATAGACATACATACGACCAATAGACATACATATGACCCATAGACATACATAGAACCCATATACATACATAGGTTCCACTGGCCAATAGACTAACATAGGACCCATACGGAATTATATAGTACCAATTGACTTTCATAGGACCTTTATACTTTCATATAACCCATAGCCTAATATATGATCCATAGTCCTAGATGGAGCTCATAGTCTAACATTGTATAAGACCCATAGACAGTCCATTAGAATAATAATTCCATGTATATTGTCTTTTCATCAAGGATCTCAAAGTGCTGTACAGAACACAGCAGTAGCACACTCAGAATAAAAATAATTATATTAGAAATACATTTACTAAATGAACTAAAAGTTTAACAAGCGGACGCGTGTATGAATACGTTTTAAGACCAATATTTTTTTTAGATGACTCAGAGCGATCCCTCTGATGTCTCGTGGAAGAGCGTTCCTTAGCCTGGGGGCTACGCAGAGAAACATCTCGGTCACTCACAGAGCGAAGAAGCCTCGACCTGGGAATGCAGAGAAAAGATCTGCACCCCCCACATCTTATGGACCTTGAGGGGGATGTATGGGTGCAGGCGTGTCAATGATGTAGGCTGGGGCATCAAGATGGTCCATCGCTTTGTTGAGGTGACAAGAGGAATTCAAACTGGATTCTACGTGCGACTGGAAGCCAATCAGTTTATTTTCAGTTTCAGTTGATTTATATCGGTATAGCCCTGTGAGCCATTCGGCTCGTGAATCAGGTGCAACCACAACAAACAAAAAAACAAAAACACGAACAAGAAAAACATCTTAAAGTGACTTTGTGTGACTGCAAACAGAAAATCCATGAAAAAAAACAGCAAAATATTCCAGAAAAATCACCGTACACCAACGCTGTGTGCAAAACATCCCAGTGGGATGCAAGTCAAACAACAACAACAACCACAAGAAAACTTAGATTAAGGCCATCAGTCTAACTCCGTACTACAACAAAACAAACATGTCCAAACCAAAAAAACTTTTCGAAATCACCAAAAAATAAAGCCATAATTGCAACGTAACAATGCAGGGAGGGCCGACACGGGCGTAATACAATGTGAAGGAGGTGTTCTGATTAACACTATTTAGCAGCCGCATTCTGAACACGCTGCAAATTTAAAAAGGTTAACATTAAATCCTAAACAGCCCCCCCCCCCCTCCCCATAGACTAATAGGGTTTGGACAGCAGAGGGCAGTGCAAAGCGGCCAATTGTTGTACAGGGCGCTTCAAAAACATGTTAACACTCCTGAGAATTTGCTACAGCGGCACAAGAAGTGCGCTGGCTCGGGGCTTTGGAGACCACCTGGGGAAGATTCCAGGCACGCGTTGACAACGATGGCGAACACGTGCGAGACTCTTCGGCCTTTTAAAGCTATTGACATTACATTGGTTATTATGTTAGTGTATTATTCGTTCTTTTTCCATGAAAAACGATAGTCCCATTTCTTCCTGCCTCAGCAGTCCGCCTGCTGTATTTTCTTCACCTGAAGACGATTGCTCGCTTGTATTGCGATCGAAACGGCGTGATTTTTTCCGTATTATTTTATTATTTTCACACGCTTTTTATGAACTCACTCTGTCTGCCGCTGTTGTTGTATTCTCAAATCTTGTAACACAATTTTAACCCACTTCCCAATGTGGTATCGACTCCAAACTTGGTATACTTATATTTTGATTTAAAGCTTTCGTGACTGCAGTAATTCATATTCTTAGTTTTTTCGGTAAAGTCACGTTGAAGGGAAACAACAAAATAATAAAATATATAAAACAATAAAAAATAAAATAATATATAAAAAACAATAAAAATATAAAAACAATAAAAAATAATAAAAACATAATAATAAATATAATAAATAAATATGCTGTTTTCCTTCAACGTGACTTTGGTATACTTATGTCATACTATATTCTATCATAAAATATTTTTTAAAAAATCTATATTTTTAAACATTATTTTGTATATGCTATGTTTCTGCTTGGGTCTAATTGTCCACGCTCAACTGACGTTGGCTGTAATTGGCCCACGGCCCCCTTACGTTGTGGCGAGCTTCGGGGCCCACTTCCTGGAGTCGTGGAGTTCTGACATTACTAGCACGGCACATTTCATTAAAGCGTGTTTTTAAAATATTACTTATTCCATTAAAAACGATAGTCCCATTTCTTCCTGCCTCAGCAGTCCGCCTGCTGTAGTTTTTCACCTGAAGACGATTGCTTTTGGGTTGCGGTCGAAACGTCGTTATTTTTTATTACTTCATTATTTTTCTATCTACGTGACTTTACTGAAAGACCCAAAGAATATGAGTCCCGTAAAAGTTAACAATTTTTCGAAGCACCCTGTACATTACATCTAGACTCCACATTACGTCTAGGCTGTTATTGATTGGCTTATGCAGCTAGCCAAGGACGCTAGGTTTAGTGATGTGTGTTGTGTGTGTATCGCTATTCTAAACTTTGAATCACATTTGTTGGGAAAACGGTTGCTTTGTTTATATAGCATTGTTTTAGTAAGTTTTAGAGGGGCTTGGTTTGGCCCGATTTTTTTATTTAGTATAGATTTATACTTAAAATTTCGATCTGTATTGTATAATGATTGTTATTGGGATCTAACATCGACATGGAATTGTTTGCATTTTTTGTACGCAGCATGGACCGGTTGTGCTTTTTTTTCTGTAGGATTTTATCGTTTACTTACGTGCCGATGTTTAGATTTGTGTACAATTAATTTTAGGTGTATCTTGTTAATTGTATTGTTTGTTGCGGTTGAACCCAAATCAAGAGCCGAATGGCTCACAGGGTAAATCCGAATAACTGATCCACATCTGTGCTCCCTGCCTTTCATCAATTCACACCGAGCATCGCGGTGAAGTATGGTCAAATACCGGGACTAGCCATCATCCAGCAGCGGATTAAAGCGAGCTGTGTAGCGTACTGAAGGCGACATTGCCCTGAGGTTCCAAGTCACCGCAATTCAAACTTACAGAATTACTAATTGACAACAATAGGCCTGCATCGATCCAGACCCTTACGCCTGCTGCTGCTGTATATTTGGAATTTGCGTGTCTCACTCTCTCTCATCATCATCATCACGATGGCTAGGAGATGTTAACTACCTCGCCTGGTATGCAGGAGGTAGCGGTGGGTTCGATCCAGACCCTTACACTTACTGCTGCTGCTGTATATTTGGAGTTTGCGTCTCACTCTCTCTAATCATCATCATCATCACGATGGCTAGGAGATGTTAACTACCTCGCCTGGTATGCAGGAGGTCGTGGGTTCGATACAGACCCTTACGCTATGACATGTTAACTACCTCGCCTGGTATACAGGGGGTCGTGGGTTCGATCCAGACCCTTATGCCTGCTGCTGCTGCTGTATATTTGGAGTTTGCGTGTCTCACTCTCTCTAATCATCATCATCACGATGGCTAGGAGATGTTAACTACCTCGCCTGGTATGCAGGAGGTAGCGGTGGGTTCGATCCAGACCCTTACGCCTGCTGCTGCTGTATATTTGGAGTTTGCGTGTCTCACTCTCTCTAATCATCATCATCATCATCACGATGGCTAGGAGATGTTAACTACCTCGCCTGGTATACAGGAGGTCGTGGGTTCGATCCAGACCCTTACGCCTGTTGCTGCTGCTGCTGCATATTTGGAGTTTGCGTGTCTCACTCTCACTATCTCGATCTCCCCGTGGTGTTCACATCGATTTTTCTCCAGTTTTCTTTCTTCCCCCTCCACATGTTTTTAGCATCAACATGACCACGCCTTTCGTCGACTTCAGCAGTCGTTGTTTGTGCGTTGCGCCCGGAACGTCGTGATTCAATTGATCTTATTTTGTTCTACCTACTACGGGGCTTTACCGAAAGAATCAAAGTTCCATGCAGTCACGGAAAACTTCAAATCTAGATTGAGTATGTTTTATTACCCCCCTTTGTCTGACATATAAATCAAAACTTGCACGAACCACACACGGTGCTTGTGACAACATGATCATGCGTGCTCTTATTGACCTCCGATAATAATTACGAGCAGCGTATTTGACGAGATATACGTTTAAGCGAAGTACTATGTAATAATTATGATTAATCGATTTGTAACGACGACTTCACACCAGACGTGATGGTCGCACTCCGTCTAAGCGACCAAACAAAAAAAAGATCTTAAAATGAAACAACAAAAAAGTAAATATATATTTATTTAATTCTAATAATAATAATCAACCGTACAGGCTTATAAGACGCAACTTTAACAATTAGCCCTCGTTACAATGAGGTGAGGGAGAGCGTTATTCTTACTAGCTGGAGAAATAGTCGCTCGGTGTTAAGTTGTTAAACTCTTATTTAGATGAGGTAACTCTGTGGGTTAAGCTTTAAACACTTTATTTTTATTACAAGTTGTTAAACTCTTATTTAGATGAGGTAACTGTGGGTTAAGCTTTAAACACTTTATTTGTGTTATGTTGTTAAACTCTTATTTAGATGAGGTAACTGTGGGTTAAGTTTTAAACACTTTATTTTTGTTATAAGTTGTTAAACTCTTATTTAGATTAGGTAACTGTGGGTTAAGCTTTAAACACTTTATTTTTGTTATAAGTTGTTAAACTCTTATTTAGATGAGGTAACTGTGGGTTAAGCTTTAAACACTTTATTTTTGTTATAAGTTGTTAAACTCTTATTTAGATGAGGTAACTGTGGGTTAAGATTTAAACACTTTATTTTTGTTACAAGTTGTTAAACTCTTATTTAGATGAGGCAACTCTGTGGGTTAAGCTATAAACACTTTATTTTTGTTATAGGTTTTAAACACTTTATTATTTTGATTTAAAGCTTTCGTGACTGCAGGGATTCATATTCTTAGTTATTTCGGTAAAGTCACCACCACGTAGAAGGGAAACAATCAAATAATAAAAAATATAAAACAATAAAATTATCACGACGTTTCGACTGCAACACAAGAAGCAATCATCATCAGGTGTGAAAACCACAGCAAGAACATAAAAAAACACATTTATTATTGTTTGTTATAAGTTTTAAACACATTATTATTTGTTATAAGTTTTAAACACTTTTATAATTATTTTGTTATAAGCTTTAAACACTTTTATAATTATTTGTTATAAGTTTTAAACACTTTTATATTTATTTGTTATAGGTTTTAAACACTTTAATAATTATTTGTTATAAGCTTTAAGCACTTTATTATTTGTTATAAGTTTTAAACACTTTATTATTTGTAATAAGTTTTAAACACTTTAATAATTATTTGTTATAAGTTTTAACCACTCACCAACGTCTGGGATCTGGGCCGATGCCATCAACCAACAGAAGCTCGACCCCAGCACCAAGTTGAGGAGAAGTTTTCCCGCCATTATTTGTGGGTTCTTCCTCCTCAGCTTCTTGTCAACGATTTTCTTTTTAAATGTATACGATAGACGGATAGATATATATTTTAAAGAGTATAATACTCGAAACGTAATCGAACGCGGCTATCTGTACTTTGTGTGTGAAAAATAAGAAAAAAAAACTACGATTAAAACTTCGACTGAAATTTTTTTTATCCGTGAGGTAAAAAATAAAATTAATTTCCTCTCAAGAGAGACTCGCAAACGCCGTTCAGTTAAAGAGTTTAAAAGGCTCGGGTTATGAAGTGGCACAGCTCGGGGTAGTAGGCAGGGTTTGAAATATTTAAATATATATTTCGTAAACGTCTAAAATAACACGCATTGGTCCGGTAGGACAGGTTTGTGGCTTCAGGTTTGTTAAAGCTGTCGTCTTTATTTATTTATTTATATCACACTTGTATTTTGTGTTAATCACTGAGATGCAATGTGATCTTAGCACAACCACGGCACAGGTTTTGCAATGGCTTTGGAATGTGGGTGTGTTAAGTGTACTTTAAAAAAAAAAATATTTCCTTGAGTGCAAAATTATATACAGTACGTGATTGTGTGTGCTAAGTATTGTTTTTGTCGTATGTATGTGTGTATCTGTGTGTCTTTGTGTGTAAATGAGTATCTTTGTGTGTAAGTGTGTATCTGTGTATATCTGTGTGTCTTTGTGTGTAAGTGGGTATGTGTATTTGTGTGTCTGTGTGTATCTGTGTGTCTTCTTGTGTAATTATGTATCTGTGTCTTTGTGTGTAAGTGGGTATATTTGTGTGTAAGTGGGTATGTGTGTGGGTATCTGTGTATATGTGGGTATCTGTGTGTGTATGTGGGCCTGTGTATCAGGTATCTGTGTATGTGGGTGTCTGTGTGTATGTGGGTCTGTGTATCAGGTATCTGTGTATATGTGGGTATCTGTGTGTGTATGTGGGCCTGTGTATCAGGTATCTGTATGTATGTGGGTGTCTGTGTGTATGTGGTATCTGTGTGTGTATGTGGGTGTCTGTGTGTGTATGTGGGTCTGTGTATCAAGTATCTGTGTGTATGTGGGTGTATGTGGGTCTGTGTGTGGGTATCTGTGTGTATGTGGGTGTCTGTGTGTGTATGTGGGTCTGTGTGTCAGGTATCTGTGTGTATCTGTGTGTGTATGTGGGTATCTGTGTGTGTATGTGGGTCTGTCAGGTATCTGTGTGTATGTGAGTGTCTGTGTGTGTATGTGGGTCTGTTTGTTAGGTATCTGTGTGTATGTGGGTGTCTGTGTGTATGTGGGTCTGTGTTTCAGGTATCTGTGTGTATGTGGGTACCTGTGTGTGTATGTGGGTCTGTGTATCAGGTATCTGTATATGTGAGTATCTGTGTGTGTATGTGGGTATCTGTGTGTGTATGTGGGTCCCTGTTTCAGGTATCTGTGTGTATGTGGATGTGTGTGTATGTGCGTCTGTGTATAAGGTATCTGTGTGTATGTGGGTGTGTGTGTATGTGCGTCTGTGTATAAGGTATCTGTGTGTATGTGGGTACCTGTGTGTGTATGTGGGTCTGTGTGTCAGGTATCTGTGTATATGTGGGTATCTGTGTGTAAGTGGGTATGTGTGTGGGTATCTGTGTGTGTATGTGGGTGTCTGTGTGTGTATGTGGGTCTGTGTGTGTATGTGGGTGTCTGTGTGTGTATGTGAGTCTGTGTGTCAGGTATGTGGGTGTCTGTGTGTGTATATGGGTCTGTGTATCAGGTATCTGTGTGTATGTGTGTGTGTGTATGTGGGTCTGTGTGTCAGGTATGTGGGTGTCTGTGTGTGTATGTTGGTCTGTGTGTCAGGTATGTGGGTGTCTGTGTGTGTATGTGGGTCTGTGTGTCAGGTATGTGGGTGTCTGTGTGTGTGTATGTGGGTCTGTGTGTCAGGTATGTGGGTGTCTGTGTGTGTATGTGGGTCTGTGTGTCATGTATGTGGCTGTCCTTGTGTGTGTATGTGGGTCTGTGTGTCAGGTATGTGGGTGTCTGTGTGTGTATGTGGGTCTGTGTGTCATGTATGTGGCTGTCCTTGTGTGTGTGTATGTGGGTCTGTGTGTCAGGTATGTGGGTGTCTGTGTGTGTATGTGGGTCTGTGTGTCAGGTATGTGGGTGTCTGTGTGTGTATGTGGGTCTGTGTGTCATGTATGTGGGTGTCTGTGTGTGTATGTGGGTTTGTGTGTCATGTATGTGGCTGTCTGTGTGTGTGTATGTGGGTCTGTGTGTCAGGTATGTGGGTGTCTGTGTGTGTATGTGGGTCTGTGTGTCAGGTAACGCATGCTTGACAGGTTTTGTTCGGCCGCATAGAAGGGGCATAACGGGCACGACACGGGCTGAAGAAGAGATGGAGTGATGCGGTGCGGGAGGATGTGGAGCTGAGTGGACTTGCCGATGACTGGTACTAGCGGTGTCAAGATCGGCCTCTGTGGAGGAGGCTCGTGAAGGATGCTACTGGGCAGTTGGAGGCAGTCGCCCTCCAACAACAACGGAGGGCGGAGGAGCGACGCTCACAACAACGAGCGGAGCGTCGGGCAGATAAAGCACAGCAGGTTGTTGCAGTAGGGGGTACAGCTGGTGGTGCATCTACCGGTCATCTAAGTCGGGAAACCCATGGCACCTGCTGGGTCTGTCCCCGTGACCTCATCCTGCACCTCGCCTGGCACAGTAGGGTGGTACAGCTGGTGGTGCATCTACCGGTCATCTCAGTCGGGAAACCCATGGCACCTGCTGGGTCTGTCCCCGTGACCTCATCCTGCACCTAGCCTGGCACAGTAGGGGTACAGCTGGTGGTGCATCTACCGCTCATCTCAGTCGGTCAACCCATGGCACCTGCTGGGTCTGTCCCGAGACCTCCTCCTGTCAGCAGCGTGGCCTTCGACACTTCACGTGGCCTCAAAGTGCACCTAGCCTGGCACAGGCGCCGTGGTGATGTCACCGTCACTTTGTGACGAATGGCGGGTGTTGGTGTGTGTGTGTATTACAAGTGCGTCCGTGCATGCGGGGATCGGCAGTGTAGCGGTGAGCGCACTGCCCTATGAACCCGGCTTCCTTAGTTCGATTCCAGCTCACAGGCAATACCTTTGACGATTATCTGAACCGGTCCTGGGCCTCCCCTAGGTCAATTCAGCCTCAAATGAGTACCTGGTGCGGTGTGTAAACATCACAACTAGGGAGACAAAGGCGGCCGGACGTAGTGCTGGCCACCCACCCCCTCGTGTGCCTTACCGGCCTTCATAGTTGCTACTCGCTAATGGCACTTGCTCCAACAGTCTGTTAAGGCTATACAGGGGATCTTTGTCTTTGTTGTATGTGGGTGTGTGCACGTGGATATCTGTATGGTTTACATACACACGTAAACACTGGCCCGTATTAAGTAACACATTGCATATCAATCCTGTGAGCGCTTAAAGCAGAACTATTTGTATTTGCCCAGTTGTAAGGCCCCACTGAGCTATGTAGCTATAATTTTGTAGTGTTGTAAGGACGAGCAGACTTCTTTAGGAGGCACACTCTGTTTATTGTATTATTTCCTTATACATCGCTTAACACACACAGAGGGATATTCGGTCCCCTCACCCGATACCCTAGGGAGGTACAGCCTCCGGACTTGGCGGGACTCACACGTCTACCGCTAACCTCCTTGATACCTAAGGAGGTACAACCTCCGGACTTGGCGGGACTCACACGTCTACCGCTATCCTAGTCCTCCGGCTAGGACCTAGGGGAGGCTATCTGACCCACCGCTGGCCCGGTGGGTCCTGACCACTGGGTATGCCGAGCCTTAGCCCTTAGAAGGGCTGAAAGGCTGGTCCAGGGTCCTAGCTAGGCTTCAGCCCAGTCTTGTCTTCGTGCAGGGAGAGAACTCCTCCAGGTCCGTTGGGTCACCGGTCTTATACCCCTTCGTGGCCAGGTAGAACCAATCATACATTCCCACGTGGAACCGTCTGATTGGTTCGCACCAAACCCTGGCCACGATCCGTTTCACCTCGACTGACCCCAACCGTTGTACCCAGGGGTAATGCTGCACTGCCCTGGTGGCAACGCAGGTTACGCAACAGCGCGTAGTTAACACCTCTACATCACCCCCTCCTTCGGAAGCTCCAGCCGTCCCGGCTGCAACAATGGGAACTCCGAAATTACCAACGGTAGAAGAATTATGAGTGTGCCTCACGAACAACAAGAACAATTAAACCCCTATAAATACCCCCCTTAACAACATAACGTATGTACAAGGCACTAGACATGCCAAAAAAAACATTATGACAACCGGCGAGATTTCGCGCGCGTGCGTTTCGCGGGACCATCGTAGGGGATGGCAGGCTTTGTTGGCGGCACAAGGGAAGGAGGAGGATGAGCCAGAGCATCCGGTGGGCCTTTAGGCATTTCCACGGGGACACCTGCTGCTCCACGGTCCATTGAGGCCGAACGTGGCCTGCATGGAGCCGTCACTCCCGCGTCATCTGCAGGAGGAATGACACGCCTGCGCTGTGGGTTAGGCACCAACGGGGCAACATCTGGCTCGTCGGACGCGTCGCACACTCGGCCCCCATGTCGTGTGTGTTGTGGAGGGACGCGTGGCGTGACGAAGGGTTTTAACCGAGAGGGGTGAACGCACCAGCGACGCCGTCCCCAGCTAATTTTAACACATTGGGGACGCAGGACTTCCACTACCTCAACCGGGCCTCGCCATGGTCTGAGGAGTTTGGCCGACGTGGACACCGGCACCTGGGGGCAGTGGAGCCATGCCCTGTCTCCCGGTGCCCACCGATGCGTGTACGACCGAGGGTCCCGCAGTCGCAAATTCGCCCTTTGGCGGGAAGCCGAATTTTCAATGGCGGCCTCCCGTGCCTCGGCCAACTTACGGAGGTTGAATCGCAAGTGGTCAACGAGCTTTGACTTTTGCGGTGGCTGTTCGATTTCCAGCCGAACGTCGGCGGGAGGAAAGGCATCCCTGCCGTACATTAGAAAGAACGGGGAAAATCCCGTCGCCGCGTGAGGTGCCATACGGTATGCGGCGAGGACCCCCGGAACCTGCAAGTCCCAATCGAGGTGGGATTCATCGACCTGATGGCATAACATAGCGGTGAGAGTTCTATGAAGGCGCTCCACCATGCCGTCGGTCTGGAGATGGTAGGGCGAAGTGCGCACTTTCTTAGTGCCCAACAGGCGGCACACATCAGTCAGCAAGGCTCCTGAAAAATTTCTTCCCTGATCGGTCAGCAACCGTTCTGGTGCGCCCTTGTCCAGGACGTAGCCTTGAACAAAGGCGTCCACAACGGCTGCCGCCGACTGGTTGGGGAGGGCCCAGGCCATAGGCCACCGTGTAAAATACTCTACCCCAACCAGAAGGTACTTATTACCCCGTGGCGTAGTAGGAAAAGGGCCCAAAATATCGAGAGCCACCAACTCATTTATACGAGAGACCGAAATGGGTTGCAGGGGTGGACATGCCGGTTTAGCCGGCAGTTTACGTTGCGCACAATGGGTGCATCCCAGCAAAATGTCAGTGACGTCGCGCAGCATGCCCGGCCAGAAAAATTGCAACCGCAACAACCCAATGGTCTTATGAACAC